CATCTTTACATGCTTCTATTATTCTCACAGTAATGATTCTGGAAATTCAATTTGATGTCTCTTGAATTTATGACCCTCCTCCCCTTTTGAATGCTTGTAATAAATATCTTTGATATATCTTAGTATTTATCTTACTGATCTGGATCTGAAAAAAAAAAAATCTAAAAAAAGATTTATTTTTCCATATGAAGGACCTGTGGATGTGAAATACAGCTGCAAACTAAACTGACAACTTTTTTCCTCTTAAAGTTTGAATAGAAATCTTTTCCCTCATCCCCTCTGGTATTGGGATGAAAATAAATACATTTGAATATTCAGATTATACTTGCCATGTGTTAAGACTTCTGACATGTGACACCACCAGAAGAAATCCTGCACATGCATTCTTAATAGCTATCATTTAAATTTGTGATGAGAGATGTGCCTATCTCAAAATATTTTCAGGGTGCAGAGAGTGGATTATTCCAAGTAATTAAAGGTGTTTTCTCTTGTATTTGAAGGTTAAACTTTCTAGCCTGAATTTGGATGACCATGCAAAGAAGAAGCTCATTAAACTTGTAGGAGAACGGTACTGTAAGGACACAGATACACTCACAATCACAACAGACAGGTATGGTTACAAGAAGGAAAGAAAAATGCCTGTAGCAGTGGTCACAGTTTAGAAAGGGTTGAGTATCTTCCACTAATATCAATTATTGTCTTGGTAAATTATTCTATTTCTAAGGCTAAAATATATGGCTATGCCACTAGTCCTGCTGTTAGCTGTTAAAATTGTAATGGACAAATCACATAAGGTCAAACCTAATATTTGTTAAATATTGTTAACTATTGAAGTCTTTGAAAGTCTCAAATGTGTACATAAAGCCTTAAGTGTTTAAAGTAGTTGTCATGTTTCTCAACAGAGCCTATAGATTCTGTTAGTTTTAGCAGTGATTGAAGAGTTTCATGCAAGAAAAGTGACACTGGTGACCAGACACTTCTGAATGTTTTGATTTTCTATATATAAACAAATCACTGTAGTTATTTATAGTTATGTTCAGAAGGGTGCATTGGGGAAATAGGTTTTCTGTGTTGAATTCTGACGCATTTAAGATAATATGTATTCCTAAATTGACTTTAATTCACAGCTGCCTTCTGTGATAGGGAAACATTATTCATAGTCTTTCCTGCTTGTGTGTGTTTATTGGAATTCTATTCCCCCTCTTAAATTTCCTGTTCTTTGGTATGATGTACTGTTTTATTCTATGTAAAATAATTACAAAATGGATAAAATTGTGCATATATTTTTTGGCTTGACTTGGAAATCTGGGTAGTTTGTTTGGACCATTTGTGCTGCCAACAGTTTAGCAAGACTGACTTTGTGGCTAAAACATTAGGATAGCTGAAGGGAGCTTCTGCTCTAGAGCACCTGTGAATGGTCTCACACTGTGTTCCAAAAGAAACTCTTAATGCCCCTTTTGATATTTCACTTTCTTTTGAATAAATTCTCAGGCCCCAGCTCTGAGCAGTGTCTGTTTCTTTAATGCAGGATTTTCCATGCTGGTATTTAGATAACTTTCTAACAGACTCTCTTCTCACTATGAAAGAAACATGAGTCAAAAGCTTGAGTCCTTTTTAAAATTTATTTGCTAGAGGAGTCATAGCTTGTAGTCATTCCAATGAGTGGTTTTTAGTGTCTCAGATGATTCAGTTTGTTCTGCATCAAAAAGGGGGGTGAAGGAGCCTGCTGGAAGAGTTGAGTGTGAGAAGGAGACAGCAGGTTATAGCTGGTCAGCGTGAGGAAGAGATTAGTATCAAATTCTCAGCAGCAGATTTTGATAGCTAGTTCTGGGAAATCAAATTTTTTTGCAGCATTGTGTCTTATCCCAACCAATTGTATTGGTGATCCCATTTTGACTTAGAGCTATGTTGATTTAAACTTTTCTTCTTAAATTTTTGGCTAGATCTCATGTTTTAAACCGTATTTCATGGCTGTTCTCACCACGTGTCTGAATCATACATGCCTTTCCCTGAGATTGCCTACATTACAAGTTAGAAAAATTGATGGCAAGTTTAACATTTTATTCAAAAGTGTATCACAGTGGCTTGACTTCAAAGAGCTGAGCTTGGTTTCTGCATTTTCAGGTGTCCACTAAGAAGACAGAACTATGATTATGCCGTTCACCTCCTCACAGTTTTGTACCATGAATCTTGGGTAAGCAATTGTGAATACCTGACATGCTCTCACACACACTTTCGTAACTTACAAAAAGTTCTGTCTGTGTGCAGCTTAAATGATCTTAGATTCTTTCCCTCTTCCACTTCACTTTTACAAGTGCATTTCTGGTTTTGGTATACATCGTTTATGTCCTCTCAGAAGTGCTCTAGTTTTTGAGCTTAGTAAGAGATTCTTTCTCAAAATGAGCCTAAAACTGACCCTGAGCGTGGCAGGAAAGACCCTAATTCTTAGGATTCCTAAGAAACAGCTCTGTTCCAAGACATAGAGCACAGTGTCTACATTTTGCCTGATTCCAAACTCTTCCGTGTTACTCAGAGTCTTCTTGGGCTTTTAAAATCCTCTCACAAATCTTGCCTCAAGCTGGAAGGTTTGAGGACTTAGGCTGGTTTTCTGAGCTCCCTTTTACTCAGAAAAGGGACATCCTCCCCACTTTCTGTTAGTTTTAAGACTCTGTTGCATCAGAGTTAGTGTCCTGAAAAATACATAAAATTATTGTAACTCTTCACATTTGCTTTGGAAGAAATATTTATCTAATGTAAACCCTTTTATCATCATTCAGAATATTGGGTATTTGGAACTTTTCTCAGTAGTTCATTTTGATAAAAGGTTATACATATGAATTATCCAATGTAAATGTATTAAAAAAAAAAAAATTCCAATTTATAGATAGTTTACTGCATTTCTAAGTAATCCTCTAAATATAATAAGATATCTTTAGACCACAGATCTTTCTTTTGCAGTGAATTCTTCAGACATGTCTCCTGTGTTTTTTCAGTGACTTGTGTTAGTAATAAGTATTATCTTCAACAATTTTACAGCCATTTTTTTTACAGAAAACAAGCTAGTAGTTTGAAATTAAATTATTGTTGAAAACCCATAGTTGTGGTTTGAATAACATATTAAAATTACTAGTCACATTCTTCAAGACAGAATGAAAGCCTTTATCATCAGTGTGCTTCCATAGATGTACTCTTAAAGTTTTAGCTGATTAGCTACCAAAATTCATAGTTACTGTTTTGAATTGCTAACAGCATTTAAATTAAATCTCCATATTTAGCATTTTTGTGAATGTCCATGTTCTTGATTTTAGTCATTGCAGCAATGACTAAATAATTTGGCAAAAACAATAAAGGATGGTGAGCTGTCTTTCCCTTTCACTGGAAGTTACTTAAAGGATACGTTTTATAATTGTAGAGTGCATCTTAAAAGATACTTTAGATTTCAAGTGCTTTGTACACATAGGTCTTTTTCTCCCCAACATCATGACACTGCATTACAAATCTTAAATTAATGGCAGATCAGTTTCCAGTATTAAGCAATGCCAAGAGAGCTGGGCACTGCTCACTTTATTAACCCCAGAGGAGCAGCACGTCTGTCCTCTGCTCTAACATTACTCAGTGCTGGAGGGACAGGGCTATACGATATTGCTACGTGAGTGCTCAGTCTGTATTGAATATGCACAATCCCCCTGTCCTTTTATTACCTTTCAACTTCCATGTTAATGTTTGATGAGTTCATCAATCCGTTGTAATTGTCTTTGATTTCCATGAAAAATTCATGGTCTCCCCAGACATGGTTTTTCATTTGGTGTAACGTGGTTTGTTTTGTGGTTGGTTTGGTGTTTTTCCATGATCAGTGGTAATGACTTTTAACAACTTGCTGAGAGATCATTTGGCTACATTTTGTAAACCATAAGCAAACAGGACATGGCTTATTTTAATTTGTGTGAACTTAAATATTGGGGGGGGATGGATTTGGACTGATGGATGGTGGACTTCCATGTAGACAGTAACATCAGTCCTGTTTACATAACTAAATGCAAGATTTGATGAGTTTCCCAGCAGCTTAGTGCCACACTCTGTTTTCATGCATACATGTGATGGAATTCAGTAAGAAGATGAGGGCAGTGTTGCATTCTTGCTAAGTGAAGGGGAAGCTGGCTGTGTGTAATTTTTGCCCTCAGTCCTGAAAACCTTGCTTCCTGTCTCTCTAAATGTGACATAACCATAATTTCTGTTAATAACTGAATTACTGAATTTTGTGAACCAGCAGGCATGAATATATAAAAGGAAAAACTATGCAGATATACAGCATGAAATCTCATTTGAAGTGTAATTACATTTTAATGGCAAGTGATACACAATTCTTTTATTACATTTACAAACTAGAGAACCCAAGTAGTTTAGGAATCTGAAACCTTTCAGAATGACAGTTCTTTGTGGTTTTGTTGAATGTGTCATAAACTATATGCTATGAAGCTCTATTGTATAGAGATGCATTTCCAGCAGAAAGTTGTTTTTAAGGTAATGAGTATGAAGAGTTTAATTCTGGCTTGTCTGTCGCTTTGTATGCAGTCTAAGAAAACAATTTTTTACTGTGTCAACAGTAGCCTCTGTATTACAGATTTTCTTGTATGCTTTTCTGGTCTCTGCTTCAGTAAATACCCAAGTCATCCACAGCTCACCAATTCTATTGCTATTGCAATTAGAGGACTCAGGTGGAATCAGTTTGCAAGAATCCTTGTTGAAATGGAGTTACATTTGAAATATGCCACAAGTGTGTGCAAACAACACAGAAAGGGATTACCAACAACTGGTACAGGTATTGTACCAGTATTGGTCATTGCTCTGCCTCAAGGCTCGGGGTGTATTGTGAAGAATGGATTTCTTTCTTAGGTTGTGATGTGGGGAAGAAAGTTTGTTTGCATTTAAATAAGTGAACCAAAGTTTATCCAAATCAAATTTGGCAACGTGGTTTCTGAGAGGTACTGCAGCCAAAGTGAGGGAAGCATGCTGGTAAGTTAATGCACTCACTGGATTTTTATCTTCTCTAACCTAGTAGCAATCAGTGGATGATGCAAGAAGATAGACTAGCCAAATTGTAAAAGGCTTTGAAGATGTGTTGGAGGATTGAACTTGGTGTAGAGAAATAGAGAAATTTGAGTGTTTTTTTTATAACCCTGTGTGTAAGAGCTGCCTTTTTTGAATACATGGGGAAATAAGAATAAAGGAAGGCATTGAAAGGCAGGAGCAAGCTTGCTTGATTTTGTTGTGGAAGGAGTAACTGAATGTCTGCTTTGTTTTTGTGAGCGTCAGAGGAAGAAGCAGAGTTTCCACAGTCAGGGAGGAACAGGGGAAAGACTTGTCAGATGCTCAGAGTAAAGAATTCAGATGGAGCTGACAAAGTGGGCAGGGGTGGAAAAAAGGTATGTTTATTAGTTGAGAATGGAGAGAGTAGCTATGCTGTTGGATTACTTGTAGGGGAAGTGGGTTGCTGTTGGGTACCCTGTTGGGCTGCATAACCCCAATGAATTGGTAGCTGAAAGGAGCACTGCATTTGAAGCTATCATGGCTTTCATGTGCTCATGCAGAAGTGCCATCAGTGGACTTGGCCATGCAAAATTCTGCAAAAGCTGAGGGCACTCCAGACCTTTTAGGACTGTTACCAAACTAAGTTTATGAATAACTTAAGTTACTAAGTTACCAAAACTCAGTGCAATGGTATTTGATCTGTATTTAAACAAATAAACCTCCCTTATTTTGAAGAAATGCAATTTCTTTCATCCTCTAGAACACATTCCCATAGTGGATAATGCTACTCTTGCTTTTGGCAAAAGGAATCTATAGTGCTTGTTATTTTCTGGCAAAATAAGTGCTTGCTTGCTTTAATCAAGGAAGTAAAGGGAGAGGAGGAGAAACATGAATTCATCATCTGGTTCTTGATCCATCTTCTGCTAGCACAGCTTCAAATGAGATACACTGTAAAGGCAAACAACTATGGAAAGCTGTTCAGAATCCTGGTAGATATTGGTGGCTTGATAGCAGTTGCTTGGTAAGACAGTGTGCTGTTTCTCAAGATGGATCTGAACAGTGGGAACAGTATTAATTAAGGGTCTGCATATTGTGTTCTTGGTTCCACCTGTTTCCATTGCAGGTTGGGTAATGAGGCTGCCTAAATCTAATGGAGTGCTCAGTTTAGTTTTAGTCTTTGTTACTGACAGAGATGCCTAAGAAGCAAGAAGTGTACCTTAAGATCCCAGACTGAAGTATTTGGCACCTTAGCTTTGGTAAATGGAGGCCCATGAGTTCAGTTATCTTTAAAGCACTCAGATTTTAAAACTTGAGAGTGCTTGTTTAATTTCTTATTTTGAAGTAGGTGGATATCCTTCACTTCCTGTTCAATAGTTTTCAGGTTATTAATGAAACATTTGTATTTTATTAGCTTCTAGACTGTATTCAGTAGATATCTGTCCTGCACTGTCTGGTTTGATTCCGTTCAAATTATCCCCCAGGATTGTGCATGGATTGAGCTAATCAGTAAAAGGATGAGACTGCTAAACAGCAAGTCGTGTTTCTGGTGCTTCTTGAATGCTGTGACATCTCTCTAAAGCTGAATGACTTTTATAATTGTTAAGTGATTTTTAAAGAGTGAGAGTGTGCTGCCCTCAAGTGGTTAAAAAGATCATGAACTGATTTCTTCACACTGCTCAGATTAATAGTTTTTCACTAAAAAGTAAAGTTCTCTTAAAAGTTGAAAGCAGGAAAGAGAGACAAGTGGAGCAGGAAGTTAATTGTCCAGTAAGAAAAAACATTCATTCACCCACATTATAAAGGGGAGGAATCTGAAAAAGACAGAGTGAGGAGATAGCTTGGTTTGATTGGTTTTAAACCAATCAAAACTACAAAAAGGTGCAGCAGTTTTCCTTGCCTCAATTCCACATGACTTTCAACATACACAAATGCAAGATGATGGATAGTGGAGGATACTGTTCTGCATCATACAGCTGAGATCTTGAAAGATTAGTGAAAAGTAGATGTGGGATTTTCTATTCTCCAGTGTATTTCTTAAAGTGAAAGATCTAATTTGGCATACTAAGAACATCAGTAAGGTAATGCTGTACACTTCTGAAGCCTCCCTTGCTTTTTCTAGTACTATTGTTACAGGAGTCTGATTAAAAAAAGATTTGAGACACTAAA